TTTAATTATTTATTTAAAAATTTTTTTTAAAACCATTTCGATTGATTATTTAAATAAATAAATATGAAATTCGTGCAAATATTTAAACGCAATAAAAAAATTTATAAACCTTAAAAATTTATGTGAAATATAATATTATTATTATTATTATTATCGTCTGAATTAACGAAACAAACACGCGCGCGGCAAACACGAATAACAACTGGAACACTCTGAACACTTTAAAAGTACCAACAAAACTGAGACGTAGTATCAAGAAAGTACCATCGAATACTCATGAGTATATTTTTAACATACCGGTAAAAAATAATACGAGAAAAAAATTTTTTTTTTTTTTTTATTCGACGTTACACTGTCGGTTTTATTTTTATTAATTATTATCATTATTATTACAATTATTATTATTATTATTATTTGAATTTATATTTTTGCTTTAAAAAAATGTAAAAAAGTAGGTTTTTAATCATTTCCAGTTCCTTTTACACGAGAAGGTTTTTTTTTTTTTTTGTATAAAACCGGATGTTGTCATGTTTCAAAACGTTACACGTCCTGTCATCATCATCATCATCATCATCATCATCATTATCATTATCATTATCATCATCATCATCATCATTATCATTATCATTATCATCATCATCTTAAAACGTTTCGTATCTGATTTTTTTTCAACTCGTTTTTTTTTTTTACTTACTTACGCACGTAGTGCCAAAACGAACAACAACTTTTTAAAAAAAAAGTTTATCGTAGTAATTTTGTTTTTGATATCCGATGCAAAAAACAAACAAACAAACAAACAAACAAACACACAACATCCTTTGAGAAATCAAAATTATAATTTTATATACAAAGTCTTACGTCAAAAAAAAAAAAATTACCGTTATAATTATTAATAATATTAATAATATTTTATTTTTTTTAATTAATAATTCGTAATTATTTTCGAAGGGGAGAGAAAGAGAAAGGGGGGGAGAGAGAGAGAGACAGAAATATTATGCGCGTGGAATTTAAATAGAATCATTATTATTATTATTATTATCATAGTATCTTTTTGTTATCGACGAAAAAAGAAAGAAAAATGAATGAATACCGTTATTATAATAACTGATACGGATGAAAAATTTTTTCTTTTTATTATTATTATTATTATTAATGTTATATATTATTCGGATGCGGCAATCACATTTATTATTATTATTATTATTATTATTATTATTATTATTATTATTATTATATGTAAATTCGAGGAAAGTAATAAAATTTATTAGGTAAGAGAATATTTAAAAAATTAAAAACGGAAATCACTTTCACCCACAATCAAAAAAGTCTTTCGCTAATGAAAAATTCAACATTTTTTTTAAAAAAAAAAAAATCCAGCTCACGTCGATATCGTTTTTTTTTTTTTTTTTAAATTTTTTTTAGAAAGTTCTAGAAAACAATTAAGAAGAAGAAAAAGAGAAAAAAAAAATTACACCTGTCGTGTGATAAAAAAAAAAAAAAAAAATTTCATTTCGAAACGTTTAATTTTATAATTAGTTTTTGAATTGTTTTTTTTTTTTA